GACCGTGCTCCACCATCACTACAAGTGTGGTGGCGAGTTTGCCTTCAGCCATCTTCGAGCGTATTGTCGTGCGGAGTGCATGAACCAGACGTTCACCCTCCTGGACTCACCGCAACAAAATGAAGTAGTTGAGGGACGCATTGACCTGGTCATGGAGGTGGCTCGCCCCTCCATGGTCTATGCCAGTGCCCCCCATTTTCTATGGCCGTTTGCGGTGCGGTACGTAGCTCACCAACTTAGCTTCTCGCGATCACAGGTTCTCCGACCTTCCTCTAGACTGGGTCCCTTGGTGACGCGTCTGCGTTCCACGTCTGGGTCTGCCTGGCTCACGTTCCCATCACAAGCGCGGACAAGCTCTTGGCCCGCCACATCCTCTCTGTGTTCCTCGGGTTCCCGCTCGATGCTTGTGACTGGCTGTTCTACCGCCCGGTGCAGCACCACTTCTTTCGCTCCCGTAACGTTACGTTTGATGAGAGTGTCCCCTTCTGCGCTCTCTTTCCTCGTCGTAAAACCCTTGTTCACCCTCCCGCTCTCTTCTTTGCCCATCCACCACCTGACTCTGGGAGCCTCGTGGTTGGGGATGCGCCTGCCGCAGCAGTGATGCCCCTCTTCCCAACCCCGGTGCCCCACGCACCTGAGCAGCCTCCCCCAGCGCAGCCACTGCAGCAGCAGTAGACGTTGCAGCCGTCATAATAGCAGCAGTAACGGCGAAGGACCGTGGGCTCTAGAGGTGGTGGTTCTGGTTGTGCGGACTCTAGGGGTGCGGGTTCTGGGGGTGCTAACTCAGGGGGTGGTGATTCTGGAGGTTCTAGTCTTGGGGTTGCTATCTCAAAGTGTACTCGTGGTGGCAGTGATGGGACTGGAGGTCCTGACGTGGGCCACGAGCAGAAGCAGCAGCCACCGCAGCACCAGCCGCAGTCTGTCCTTTGTCTCCTCGGCCTTTCCTTTGGTTCCCCTGACTGCCAGCCCGTGCGTCCTACATTGATTCCCCTTTTGCCTGCCCCTGTCTATGGTTTGCTGTTCCCTCCCCCGGACTCGTCTTCGGCTTGTTTCCCCTCTCTTTGTCCTTCGTCCCGTGTCTCGTCCCCTTTTGCCCACCCGTGGGTGCGTCGTCCCCCTGGTGGTCGTCTTGCCTCTCCTTGTGCTCGTGTCCACCCTATGGTCCTTCGTCCTCATGCTCCTCTAGTCCTTGTTCTGTCGTTACCTCATTCGTCATCCCCAACCCTTTCCTCCAGTCCTCCCTACAACTCTGCTCGCACTGCTCGTCCAGTGGTCTCCCGCTTACTTGCCTCTCTTGTTACGGACCCTACGGCTCCTCCTGCTGGTGTCTCTGCCCCCGCCGCTGTTGTCACTAAATTTGTTGCATGCCATCTCCTTGACTACGCCTCCGTCCTAGTATCTGACCCTGTATATCCTCCGTTCGTCTGGGGTGCACATGTCCTTGGCAGTGACGTTCTAGAGGATAGGCAGTACGTGTTGGCTTTCCTTTCGGCTACTATACCTCATCTCTGCGCTGTGCTAGTGTCCCCAGAGGGCGACCCTGACGCCCTGGACATCGCGACCCTGCGTTTGTATGCTGAGGCGATCTCTGGGCCATGGGCAGCCTAGTGGATATAGGCGATGGAGGCAGAGATGGCATCTTATGGATCCACTGGCACTTATGTCTATGCGGTTCCTCCCCTTGGGGCGAACATAGTCGATGACATGTGGATCTATAAGGTGAAGTGCCCACCTAGAGAGTCACTGCAGTTTAAGGCACAGTATGTGGCTAGAGGCTCCATCCAGCATGAGCGTCTGGACTTCTTCTAGACCTTTATCCCCGCCCCGAAGATGGCTACTCTTTGGGCGCTGCTCTATATAGCCGCAAAGCGTGACAAAGGGCTCCACTCGTTGGACTTCTCGACAACCTTCTTGCAGGGCAGCCTATACGAGCAGATCTACTTGCGGTGCCCACCAGAATTCACAGGGTCCTTCCCACTTGGGACCCAGTGGGGCTTGCGGTGCCCTTTCTGTGGTCTGTGGTAGTCGCCTTGGAGTGGCACGATACGCTTCGCATCACTCTCGCGACTCTCCATTTTTTCCTGTTCTTTGCTGACCCCTCACTCTTTGTCCGTACTAGTCAGACTCCCTTCTACATTCTTGTGTACGTAGATTACATAATCTTTACTACACCAGATAGGGTCGCACTAGCCTCGGTGAAAGCCGAGCAGCTGAGGGGACACGCCTGCATAGAACTAGGAGAGCTGCGGTGCTATCTAGGCTTGGAGATCTCTCGTGACCGTGTAGCACGTACAGTCACCCTCTCCCAATCCCACATGGTGCAGCAGATCCTCCAAAGGTTTGGTCTCCAGTTCTCGTCGGCACAGCCCACTTCCCTGCATGTGGATCACAAGCTCTCAGCTCATGTTTCTGGTGAGCAGGTCGAGCCCAGTTGTTCCTACGCAAAGCTTGTGAGTTGCTTCAAGTACCTAATGACGTGCACTCGCCTTGATCTAGCGTACCCTCTCAGTATCCTTGCTTGCTTCGTTGCGACTAGTAGACACCAACCAGTGCACTGATTGGTTTCCAAGAGGGCATTGCGGTATCTGGCGAGTACCTCAGTCCTGGGGCTTGTGCTGAGAGGACGGGTGCCAGTGGTCCTCACTAGACATACATGTGCGGCGTGGGCTGCCGGCCTGGAGATATTAAGGTCATCACAGGCCTACAGCTTCAGCCTTGGTGCAGGTGTCGTCTCGTGGCGGTCCACTCGGTCGTCGTCTTTAGCACAGTCCAGTTGTGAGGCAAAATCTACACTGGTGGTATGGCCGCTTAGGAGCTCCGCTTGTTGACGGTCCTGCTCATTGTCTTAGGTGAGGGGCCTAGGTCTACCCTGCTCCTACTTGCTAATAACAGGGTCATGATCCTCCTATATCAGAAGGCTTGATTTGATGGTAGGGCCAAGCACATCCAACTGCGGTACTTCCTGCTGCATGAGTTGCACATCCAAAGGGTAGGGGAGGGGGGGGGGGAACTCTGACTACAAAGGCCATCCAAATCCTTAGCCAGGGGCCCTGGCGAGTGTGCCAGCGGGTGACCATGGTTTTTGTTTTTCTTACTTGATTGCTAAAAAATGGCGATATTAATAACGCAATCCTTGTCGTCGTCGACAGGCTGACAAAATAATACTATTCTCTACGTGCAAGAAAAGCATTACCGCCAAAGACACAACTCGCCTCTTCATCGCAGCCGACGTGGAGTTGTACGCGATACTAGTTACAATAATGTTTGATCGAGATACACGCTTGAATAACAACTTCAAGCGCCGCTTTGCGGGACCAATTCGTCATTCGCCAAAAGTTTCATCCACCTATCACTCTGAGGCGGACGGTCAGGCTGAACAAGCCAATCAATCGATGGAGCAAATTTTTTGTGGCACATGCGAAAATGTCGCCGACTGGGTATACAAATGCCAGTGCCTGAGTTCAGGTCCAACAACGCCCCGTCAGCAGCCACCCACCAATAATATTTCGATATGAAATACGGACGATCGTCCCAAATCCCAGCAATCAATTCCCACGTATGCCATGATTTGCTAAGTTTTATAGGTTGCCTGCGAGAGAGCAAAATAACCCATAAAACGAGCCAATCTCATATCAAAACGCAACATCGATCTAAATCGTTGAGTTGTAACCTATTATCCTTGATATTTGGTTCTTATCTATCATACCTTTCGACTATCTGTTGGCCCAAACTAAGACCTCGCTATTATGGACCATTCTCTGTGCTTCGTACATATCCATATCCTAACACTAAACTTGCCTTGATGTTCCCATTAATATATATTCATTCTCTGTTCCCGCCTTCTGTGCATCAGAACAATCTAGGAAGCCACCTTATGAAATAGAAAGAGTCATAAGCAGCTCTAAAGTCGCCCTTTTAATTTATTACTGGTGTACTAGTATAGCTTTTGTTGTCCTGTAATGAAGCGCAAAGAGCGTGTGTCTTAGGATATATTAACGAGAAAACAATACAACTGAGGCAACATCAAAACAGCAGGGAGCATGGATAAACTGTAGCTAGCCTAGGAGTACAAGGTCGTGGCTCGGCAGAGCAGCGATGTGTGGTTTGTAAATTGGCGCGAAGCGCTTTGATCTAGGCATGCAGCAGCAAGGCGGCCAATAATGCATGCGGCTCGTCAAGAGACCACATTTGGGACCGCGATTTGAATTTCGTGGCAGAACTGCATGGCAACCCCGTTATAGCAAAGTACACCTTACTGACTAAACCCCATGATAAGGGAATACCATTTTCTTACATCCTCCCCCCTCCAAGGTATGGTCTTATTTAGGACCGCCGACGTCATGCACATTGCGTGACTGGAGGTAGACTCGTAACACCAGGTAAAACTCGATATGTGTCAGGGGCACCCAACTATTTTCTAGGGCCGTCCGGTCCTTCCACGATATCAGAAACTCGATCAGACGAGGCTCTCGAGGATCCTTAATCCGATGGCTGAGAATCTTCGCAGGTTCGATAGTAGGTTCGGCGGGCGGTCGGATGTTCAGGTTCGCTCGGTGACGTGGTAGTTTACTGGTGATGGCGATGTATGGTCGAAGTAATCGCACGTGGAATGATGGGCGGACATTCCAGGTAGCTGGTAGCAGTAGATGGGCTGTAATGGAAGATATCATATGGCTCATGATAAATGGTCCACAGTAGCGGGGGCGGAGTTTTGGGACTATGGGTAGTCGAAGGTTCTGGGTGTCGAGTAGTACTAAGTCTCCAGCTTGATAAGTGACTGCTCTTCGATATAGATCGGCGTTGCGCTTAGAAATTACATTCGCGCGCTTAATGGCTTCAGTTGCTCACTCCCGGGCATTTTGTAATATTTCGGCGAACAGTTGGGCTCGTGGTACTGGATTTTCGATGTTGGGCGTGATCAATACTGTAGGGTTTTGCCCGTAGTTCAGGTAGAATGGTGACTGTCGCGTAGTGACTGACGGGGCGTTATTATAGGCGAACTCAATCATTGGCAATTGTTGCTCCTAGTCGGCCACGTCATCACAAGTGGCGCAAATCAGCTGCTCCATCGTCTGATTGGCCCGTTCGGTCTGTCCGTCAGTCTCAGCGGAGGAGAACTGTAGGCGCGTGCCAAACTGTTCCCAGAGTTTGTGCCAAAAGTTGTTGGTGAATTTCGTGTCACGATCCAAAATGATGGCAGCTGGGATTCCGTGGAGGTGAACGGCGGTTGAGATGAAGAGGCAGGTTGTTTCATCGGCCGAGATGCTTTTTTTGCAAGCGGCGAAGTGGGCCATTTTCGTCAGCTTATCGACGACGACAAATATCGCGTCATTACAGCCGTCCTTAGCAATCAATCCCGTGAAAAAATCCATCATCACGTGCTGCCACACGCGCTCAGACGGCGGAATCGGCTGCAACTGTCCAGCTGGCTTTTGCTTCGATGATTTCATGGCTTGGCATGTTCTGCATGAAACCGCATGCCGCTGCACGTCCACTTGCATGTCGGGTCAGAAATCTGATCAACTGCTGTCGGGTTTTCTCTACTACGAAGTGCCCCGGAACGATATTGTCGTGAGCTTTCCGTAAAAGTAATTCTTGAAGTAGACTGTACTCTAGTACCCAAGTGCGGCCAGTCCCTGTCTTTAGGAAATGGACTCCCTTAGCCGTCGCGAGCTGTTCGTACGCACCCGACGTAAAGAATCTGTCCGTCTGGTACCCCTAGGTAAATAGGCCAGTTAATAGCGATGAGGTTTGGGCGAGGATTATGGAGTTGAGATGGGAGGATGGGCGAGAAAGGGGGTCAGCAATATTGGATGCCCCATTCTTGTAGGTTACCATGTAATGGAATTTGGACTCCACAAAATCCAGCCACCGAATCTGTCGTGGGTTGAGTACTGGCTGTGCGTGGATATACTGTAGGCTATACTAGTCTGTCCGTATGTCACAACCGCGCCCGTCAGATAGCGCCGCCACTCTTTGAATGCGTGCACGATCGTGAGCATCTCCTTGTCGTGTATCGGATAGTTTTGCTCGGGCGAGTGCAGCTTTCGTAATTCGTACGCGATTGGATGTAGGCCTTCGCCGAAGTCTTGTAACAGTACTCCTCTGGTGGCGATGTCATTGGCGTCTTTGATGACTTCGAATGGACGGTGAGGATCAGCGATGCGAAGGACAGGGGCTGAGCACATAAAATTTTTGAGCGTGGAGAAGGCAGCTTGCTCTTTCTCCCCCAACCTATAATCAGTCCCTTTCCGCAGCAGGTCAGTCAGCGGTGCAGTTACCCCCGCCATATTCGGGATAAATCTCTGAACTTAGTTGAAGAACCCTAAAAAACCTTTGCAGCTCCTGCAGTTTCTTAGGCGATAGCCAGGCCTGCACTTTCTCGATCTTGCGCGGGTCCACTTCGACTCCCTTAGTGGAAATAAGGTGTCCCGGAAATTCTAAATGGTCTTTTAAGAACTCGCACTTAGACCCCTTCGTGAGAAGCCGGTGATCCTGCAGTAGCGTGAAAACTACTTCAAAATCCTTGAAGTGTTGCTATAGATCAGGATACCGTCTACGTAGACGATAACACACCTATCTAAGTGAACTGAAAATCTGGTTCATGGTCATCTAAAAAGTTGCCGGGGCGTTCGTCAACTCGAAGGGCATAACTACGTAGTCAAAACTCCCGTACCCAGTACGACATGCTATCTTCTGACAGTCAGCTACGATTTCGCAAATCTTATGGTAACCCCCTCGTAAATATATTTCGAGAAGAAGCGAGCTTTGCGAAGTTGGTCGATCAGTTCGTCGGCGCGCGGGATAGGGTAACACGACTTGATAGTCACCCTGTTCAGTGCTCTATAGTCAGTGCACATTCGGTACCCACCGTCCTTCTTAGGGGTGAACAGTATGGGGGCGGCAAATGGCGAAGAGTTGGGGCGGATGATTTTTTTCTCCAGTAATTAATCTAACTATTTCCGTAATTCCTCTAACTCCAGCTGTGTTAATCAAAATTGTCATTGCACCGTGGGCAGTGTCCCTGGTTCGAATTCTATTCAATGGTCGAAGGGTCGTTTCGGTGGTAATCCCTCTAGCAGGTCATCTGGATACATCAGCGGGAATCTGCGAATCAACCGCGCTAAGTCGGTCGGCACTGCTGTTGTTAGCTTCTCTAAACCGGGCGGCTGCGATGCCACGTCAACGGCGCGAATGACTACAGCGGAGACTTCTACTCCCCGTGCGACCGCTCGTTTGATCGCCACAGAGTTCTACTGCGTCTCTCCCTCTATGTTCCCCTTCGTCCATTCTGGTAACGTTACGCTACGGCCGTTGATCTTGACGGAACAGCTGCCGGTTGTCGAGTCAATTTTTGGGTTGAATCGTCGCATCTAATCCCGTCCCACCAACTTATCGAAGGCGTCGAATGTAGTTGCTAGTATCCCCATAAAAAAAATTCAGTCAGCTCTACAGCGTATCCTAATCCTATCTGCCTTGTCTTTTATTGCTAGTGGGGTCCCATCAACTAGTCGCGCGTAAATCTCTGGTAAACACCTATCTTAGGGTAACTTTTTTTTTTTTGCCGTGGCGAGGTTGATCAGACTATGGCTGCCCTCCCCGTCCACGAAGATTTTATATTTTTCCCTTTTAACCCTACCCTCTAACTAAATAGGGTAATCCGCCGCTGCACCCCCCTTATTCAGCCGAGTTTGGTCGTTTGTGTGTATCGGTACTAGTACTCGATGAGCGTCATCGGTCACGGGCGAGCAGCTTCCATCGGTATTAAGCCCGGTAACTACTGATACTAAGCGTTTCCCTGGATGTTGGAACTCCCCTGCCCCAAATTTCGCTTCTTCCGCTCCTCTGGGCATTCTGACTTGCGGTGTCCCGGCCTATTACACCCGAATTCGCGACCCTTGAAGGCTGTAACTGCTGAGTTCGATATTGTAACAGAGTGTACGGCGGCACGCTCGATTGGTCCCCCAGTGCGACTTCCGTCATAGGAACTCGCCCTTAGCTTGAAGAACGAATCCAACCGCTCCGCAACCCTCTGCGCCTCCATCAAATCCGTAATTTTTCTGATTTGTATTTCTCTGCATAGATCCGGTCGAGGTCCCTCGATATACCTGTCGAAATTTTTGTCAGGGTAAATGTAGTCGACCTGGTCGCATAAATTCTAGAAGGTGCTGGTGTAGTCCTGGACCGATCTGAGTTGGTGCCACGTGCGAAGCCGGTCGCGCGCTTGGCTGCTTGCATTGACATGCTCGAAGCGACGACGAATTCCCGTGCACCACGATTGCTACGTGTTGTACTCGTCCACCTCGCAATAAATTCTTGCCTAGTGATTGGTTGTGTGAAAACGCCCGATCACGCATGGCATCGTATCCGATTCCTGCGACTGAATTATCTGCTGCCACCAATTCATAGCCGGTCCACGTAGGAGCGACACACGCTGACGGACAAGCAGCCACGCTGGCTCGGGTCGAACGTGGGCGACCTCTGCGTGTTGAGAATGCATGGCTCCATGTTGGCAGCTTGCAGGCCGATCGGAGAGGTAATTGGCAGGTTTACATTCGTCCTTTCGCCAATTTCCGCCCGTCCAATAGCCGTGATGGGTTGTTCGCCGAACCCTTGGGCGAAGCCGGAACGCTACTAGGTTACTTGCTCCCGTTGTCCTTGATTTGTCGTTGGTGCGATCGTGTCGTGTCGTGTCTGGGGTAGTTGGCTACGGAGTGCAGATATCCCAGATTCTGCTTGGGCTGTTTCAGCTCGCAGACGCGTCAACTCCTGCTGGTACAACTCGTGAGTAAGACAGACTTCGTCAAGTGCTGCCACCCTTTCTTCACGAGTCATGGCGGTAGACGCCGATTGATCCAGTATTTCGCGGAAGTTTTGCGCGGCTTTCGGCACGCTAGCACTGCGAACACAGTCGTGGCTGTAGGTAATTATCAATGACTATTACCAGGACAGCGGATATGCAGTAAGCACAGGGCGTCAACCTGCCTAAGTGTCGATATTGCAGCGGGGCTAGGGCGCAAGGCTAAGGATCGTTGGCTTTGATGGCCATGTGCAATGAAGCGCAAAGGGCATGTGTCGAATGATTGATTAACGAGAAAACAATACAATGGAGGCAACATAAAAAAAAAACATGGAGCATGGATATAGCTAGCCTAGGAGCACACGGTCGTGACTTGGCAGAGCTGCGCCATGTGGTTCGTAAATTGGTGTGAAGCGCCCAGATCTAAGCATGCAATGGCAAGGCGGGCAATAATGCATGCTCCTCGTCAGGAGAAAACATTTGGGACCGCGATTTGGGTTTCGTGGCAGAACTTCGCAGCAACCCCGTTATACCAGTGTACGCATTACTGACTAAAGCCCCAGACAATACAATTTCCTTACATGTCCCCATTGGTACTCAGCGAATTGGATGGCTGCTGCTGCTGCCAGCACATCAATCCTTCAGCGGTTTCCGCTCCATCCGCTCCGTCCAGCTGGACGGAACGATGAACAAATTCCACACAAGCCAAAAGCCGTTTTCATATCGCTTCCAGCCCTTCGAATCTGCTAGGAAGACAAGAACCCTTGTCAGATCTCGTGACTCGTTCTGAGTCTTGTGGGGAGGGGAAGACATGGGGTTGCTCAACCCTTTTAGGGCGCGTCACATTTTTTCTGAACAGGGGTCTCTCCGAGCCCAGGCTGCAATTGCAATAACCTGTTGTTCGCTTCATGTTTACACAAATGTGACGCGCCCTACTGTAGGGCGATGAGATTAGTCGTCCTTTCAAAAGAAAAAGAAAAATGAAGAAGAAAAAAAACCCAACCCAACCACTTCGATGTTTGACAAAACGCTTTTGATCGCAAAACCGCAACAAAGTGAACTCCTGAGGACTCGCATACAGTAAAACCACTGAATGTGTGTTGTGCTTGCGTGTCCGCCATATCGGGCACAGGCCTCTCGATAACCTAGGGGTCACCCTGCAGAATCCGAGTTTGCCCGGGATCCAACTCGTCCAGGCTGGGTAGCCCTAAAACTTCTGACTGTTTTTGCAGGCCAGAGTTTCAACCACCTTGGAATGTGCCACTCCTGACATTGACAATGACAGGGGGAGCCATTTTTTTATAGGGGTGCGAGCTCTACATTTGATTTCACAGGGCGAGTCCATTCCCTACTCGAAAATCGGCCGTTGAATGATTTTGGCTGGCCTGTCCATGGACGGGTGTCGATATTCTGAATGCGTCAAAAGCAGGACCAGGTCGAAATGTTACCCTTTTTTCCTTGACAAAGCAGTATAATTACCCTGACTTCCAGAGGCCTGATCCGGCAGCCCTTCACAGAGTACAGCACGAAAGCGGCAAGATTCGTTGTGTTGGTGCATGCATGCATGCATGGCGAGTCCGCTGCTGCCACGTCGGCAGAGCCAAAGTCATTGTCTGCTCTTCACACCGCTGTCAGTCTCGCCCAATCCCAAGCTTCTACTGTACAGCGAGGCAGCAATTTGTTGACCAGCCTCCGCTATGGAGGGCAGACTTTGTTGAGCTGGACAACTGTGCAGTTCACACACCGACGGACCCAAACATTTGTTTTTTTTCGTAGAGGCTCCACGACCTTGGAGCCTGGAACCAGCGTGGTCCTGAGAAAATGAATTCAGTATTTGATTTGGGCGGTTCTGCACTTTCCATCTGCTCCTGCTGCTCCTCCTCCCGCTGTTGCCGCTGCTCTCTGATCTGGTGGTGGTCCCTTCTGTTCTTCCTTATGGACTGTCCTTGCATTTCGTTTCTTGGCTGGAATGGGCAAACTGCGATACATACGTACCGCTTTCGGCTGCAACAGCACCAACGACTAACACCAATGTGCTGCTCAACTCACACCAAGTACTGACTCCGCTCGAAAAGAACTGTTTTTCCTCCTAGAAGACATCGTCCATGGCGTACCCCATACTACTACCGCCGGACTGGACCCCTCGTACCTTCGAAACAGTGTCACCGAACCTCGCCGGTTGTCCCGCCGATTCTCCCGACGATGAGCTTCTGGATATCGATTTCCTCCGCTCCTTCTTCTCCGCAGGCTCCCCCAACCCCGCCGCTGCCGCCGTCGCGACTGTCGCCGCAGCCGCCGCCGCGGCGCGCGGAGCTGGCGCGGCTGTTGCGCTCTCCGCGGGTGCAGCCGCCGCAGCGGATGCTGCTGCGCTGGCGGCCGCCTCAACCACAGCGACCGCTGCTGCCGCCGCGTCGCATAACTCGTTCGTCGGCGTGGGTCCTGGCGCTGCGGACTTTGGCTGTCCCGAGACGGCGTCATTTTCGCCCAAACATGGGGAAAGCCTCGGAACTTCCATTTCTCTCTTCTCTCCCTTTTCTCCGAAACAACCAAGTCATTGCGCCTCCGCTGGCGCGGCTCCTTCCCCCTCGCCCTTTCCCCCAAGTCACTCCCCGCACAGTCCCCGCGACCACCGCCCCCCCTCCCTCTTTCCGCCGCTCTCCCCGCTGTCTTCCGCCTCCCCCTTCACTCCTTTCGCCCTGGGCCATTCTCCGCAAACCGCGCAGGCTTCCTCCGCCGCCGCCGCACTGCCCATGCTCGCGCGCGCGACGAGCCTCGGCAGCGCAATGGCCGCGAATGTCAGCAGCTATTTCCGCGCATCCACCCCCGCGGCTAGCTTTTTCTCCGCCGCTTCTGGCGGCGCGTCTGCTGCAGCCCCACCTGCCGCCACGGCGGCGCCTTCTCCCCGCGGGAAATTGGCGGCGGCGGCGTTTTCTAGCCGAAATGCGCGCAACAACCATGCGCTCGATGCGGAAGCGGCGGCTTATCATCGCGGCAGCCGGGGCTCCACTCCCCGCGCCCCACCGTCTCGAGAAAGCCCGTCGCGCCAAGGGCTACTATTTAGTCCGAGATTAGTTGGCGACGCCGTAGGGGCCACGGACGTGCGAGGGGCGTCTCGTGTAGAGGTCGAGATAGCGGGGGAGGTGGAGGGGAAGGGGGATGGGGATGACGAAGGGGAGGAGGCGGAGAGGGAGGACGAGGAGAGCTGGGCAGCCTCCGCCACTCTGCAAGCGGAACTCCGCGCGGTAGTGGGCGCGGACGGTCCTTGCGCCATTGCGCGCCAAGATTCCTTCCGGCGCGGCGGACTCGGTTCCATGGCGGGCGGAGGGACTGCGGGTGCCGGGGTGGCGGTAGCGCCGCCGCTCTCCCCCGTGTCTCCCGCGCCCACCCCACGCGGCGGGGCTCCCGCGGCGTTGGCGCAGACGCCCCGCTCCGCGCGGGAGGCGCGCATGCGGCTGCTGCAGGCGCAGCTGGAGCTGCTGGAGACGAGCAAGGCGGTCTCCGCGCTAAAATGCGCGCGCCACGTCGTGCAGATGCCCGGACACGGCGCGGGGGTTGGCGGAAACGGCGGAAATGGCGACAGCAGCAGCAGTTGCGCCAGTAGTCCGCGGTCCAGCGATTCTTACATGAGCCACGGAGCGGAAGGCGCGGAAAGCCCCTCGTCGGAGCGTAGCTTCAGCTTTGCGGAGATGAGCCCTCGGGAAGACGACTTGCCGCATGTGGCGCAACTGCAGCAGCAGCAGGAGGAGCATCACCATTATCAGCAGCAGCAGAAGCAGCGGCCGTTCTTTGACCTTTCTTCGCCTGTGGAAGGAGCGGGCCTCTCCCCTCCGTCCCCCTGTCAGCAGCAGTTTCCGCGCCAGCCACGGAGAGTAAGGGGCTCGTTACAGGAACGGAGAACTGACGGCAGCTCCACCGGTACCAGCAGTAGCATCGGCAGCAGCAGCAGCAGCAGCAGCAGCAGCAGCAGCAGCAGCAGCAGCAGCAGCAGCAGCAGCAGCAGCAGCAGCAGCAGCAGCAGCAGCAGCACTGGCAGCAGCGCCAGCAACGGGGGGAGCAAATCGAGGAGTTGGAGAAACGGCAGCAAAAGCGCTGGTAGTAGGCATGTGGCATGGCAATGCGCAGACACAGATGCGGCTGCTGTTGTTGCTGCTGCTGCTGCTGCTAGGGCAGTGCAGCTGGCAGCGCAGGTTCCTGGCAGCAGCCCTGCAAGGGTGACTCTACGAGATTTGACAAGAGCGGAGGAGGTTCGTTCGCCAAGGGGAGGAGGAGGAGGCGTAGGAGGAGGAAGGGGAAGAGGAGGAGCCAGGGTGACCCCCCCGAGCGGCACACCCCCGTGCGGTGGCGGCGGCACCAGCAGCTCACCCCATGCGGCCACCTCGCCACGCGTCGTCAGCACCACCTCAGTTTCTCACACGAAGACCTCACCGCAAGCAGCAACGGCCACCTCCTCCTCCCCTCATCGGCGCCCTTCGCCAGTGACAGCAGCGTTCTCGTTCCAGCTGACCCCTAACACCCGTGGTGCTCCCGCCCCCTTCCTCTCCTCTTCCTCCTCTTCCTTTTCTCCCACCGCCACCAGCAGCAGCAGCAGCAACAGCGGCGCAGCCTTCGCCTGCTCCTCGTCCCCCGGCTCCTCATCCTCCTCCTCCTCCTTCGCCTCCTCTTCCTCCTCATTCTGGCCGCCGCGCAGCGCGTTGCGTGCTCCCCTGGGCGCGCTGGAGCGCGACGAAGCGAGCGCCAGGGAAATGCAGGGCCGAGCGCCGCTGCTGCCTGTGTGCAAGTCCGCAGGAGGCGCGTACACAGTCAAAAGGTGGGATGGGGATGAGCTCGATCTGGGGGAGCGTGGTGTGGAGAAGTGGCAAGAGATGGGGCGCGTGGAAGGGCTAGGAGGAAGTAGAATAAACAGGGAGGGTGCAGGAGGGTTGTGGGGAGGAGATTCGCGGAGTGGGCCGGCCTGTGGGCCCCGGGGTTTTGGCCGTTTGGTTCGCAGTGGCAGCAATGTTGGTAGCAGCAGCAGTGGGGAGGGTAGCATCACAGACAGTGGTGGCCGCAGTGGTGGTGGCAGCAGCAAGCTGTGGGAGACACTGCGCAGGAACGCGCCTCTCCTTGGCTTGAAGATCCCCTAGCATGTTTCCTTCATCCCTCCAGCAGTGCTGCTTGCTCCTCTCCTGCTCCTCTCCACCGCCTCATCATGCCTCAGGGCTCAGTGCCTCAACCTAAGCGCTCTGTGCGTGAACCTCAGTGCTCAGTGCACAAGCAGCACTGAGCTCTCAGCCCAGCCCTCCACCTTCTGGCTCAAGCTGTTCGCTTTGCTATAACCCCTCCTGCCGCAGTAGGCTCTACCTTGTCTGTATGTCACAAGTAAGCATCACGCAATGCTTTCGAAGGAACCGCAAATGTAGCAACTATTGATTCACTCATACATCTGTCCCCTGTTACTTAAAGACCTGTACTCAATATTGTGAGGATATGTGTTGGTATCAAAACTTCTAACCCACATCGCAGCCCAGACCGTTTGCTCACTGCCAGCCAATAGCTGAAACGTCTTAACACTCATTCCTGCCTACCTTTCCACTCTACCTAATCGTAAAGATTGATTGACCTACTACCAGTACAACAACGCACCCCTTCCTGACTACTGGAGAAACACAATCTCAATCCAGGATTTAGGGTACCGTGTATGTAAGATGCTGCTCCTGCGGCAGCCAACCTGGACAGCGAAGTGCCTTGCCGCTCGCTGTGACTGGAACTCATCAATGTCTCTCTCAGCCACCACAGCCGCCACAGCCGCCACAGCCGCCACAGCCGCCACAGCCGCCACAGCAGCCTCAGCCGCCTCGGCAGCCACAGCCGCCACAGCCGCCACTGCAGCACAGCAGCCACAGCCGCCACAGCAGCCACAGCCACCACAGCCGCCACAGCCGCCACAGCCGCTTACAGCCGCCACAGCCGCCACAGCAACCGCAACTCCCTGGATAAAGCACCACAGGTACTACAACCACAATGCTGAATCGGGGGATGGGGCACTGGAAGTGCTGCCATCATCGAAATTCCACAGCAGCTGCACACTCCCACTTAGGGCTGCTGCACCCGGCCCCCCCCCTCCTACTCCTCCCCCCCCATTCCACACAAGCCTGCTGCCCCAGCTCTCTCCTCCTCCATTCCCCACAAGGAAACACCGAAGCCACAACCCACGCCTCCCAACACCCATGAAAGCGGTAAGCGAGGCAACCGGAACCTCAAAACTCCGCCCATGCCCAACACCCTGTACCCCATACCCTCCCCTCAACTTCCATCTTCCAGGTGGGGCTGCTGCTGCTGCTGCTGCTGCCACCGCTGCCCCGGTTGCCCCAGCTGCCCCAGGGTCCGTCCTCCTGGAGAATCTACTCCTCCAAACAACAAGATCACCTCGTCACCTCTGAGTCGACTCAAAAGTCTCCCCTGCTGTCCCAGTGCCCGTCCCTCTCTTCTCTCCTTCGGGAAACCCCTGCCGAACTGCCAGAGTCCAGCGCAGATCCAGCTGGGGTGCAGTGCAGTGCAGTGCAGTGCGGTGCGGTGCGGTGCAATGGGCGTGCAGTGGGTCTAAGAACACCTCATTTCTTTGCCTTGGCGAAGCGCAGGCACCGGTACTTCTCCCCACTCACTGTGATCTCCAGCGCTCCATCCTGCAGAGCAATGCCATGCACCGGAAAAATGGTGGTCAGGGAGTGAGCAGAAAAGGGTGGAGAGGAAAATCCCTAATTCTCTCTCCCTCTCGACCTTTCTCTCCCGCGCAAGCTCTCTTCACCTCTCAACTTCTCTCAAAGTCTCTCTCAAAGCTCTCTCCCCTCTCAAAGTCTCTCTCCCTCGCTCAATCTCCCCCTCTCCCCCTATTTCCCCCTCGCAGCCGTGCCTGGTTCTCCTGGTTCTCCTGGTTCGCCTGGTTCTCCTGGTTCGCCTGGTTCCTCTGGTTCCTCTGGTTCTCCCGGTTTGACGCTGTGAGCATGCGATTCTCTTTCTCTCTCTCCATCCCTCATCCCTCATCTCTCATCTCTCATCCCTCTCCATTTCTCTCTCCCTACCTCTCCCCTTTTCCTCTAACTCCATCCCTCTCTCCGCCTCTCCCCCGCACCTGGTTCTCCTGGTTCGACGCCGTCCCCATGAGCATGCGCTTCTCCTTCTCCAGGTTCTCCCGCTCCGCGCGCAGCCGCGCCTCCTGCTTCACAATCTCCGCCTGCCCTTGCGCGTGCGCGGAACAGACGGGAGGGGGAGCGGGGGGGGGATGGGTGGAGAGAAGAAGAGGGATGAGAAATCGGGAGAAACGAACGGTAACTGCGAAAGAGGGGGAGAGGGGAGAGAGCGCGAAGGAAAGGGCAAGCGGGCGGGCGGGCGGGAGGGCAGGAGGGGAGGTGAGAGCGGGAGGAAGGGAAAGAACACCGCTCGACTCAACAGCAGAGTCCGAGCGCACCATACAGCAGCCGTGTCCGAGCGCACCATACAGCAGCCGTGTCTGAGCGCACCATACAGCAGCCTTGTCCGAGCGTAACACACACCAACGGCGTACGAGCCAACCTCTCTCCGCGTGAGCTCGGCTTTCCACGCAGCCTCCCGCTCGGCCACCTCCCGCTCTCGCACTCCTTGACTTGAGCCCGCAGTCCTGAATGCCCGCTACCTTCGAGGCGTTTAGAAATTAGAAACAGGGGCCTACCTCGCTTCGCGTGAGCTCCGTTTTCCAGGCCGCTTCCCGCTCCGCCACCCCCCGCTCCCTTTCCTCCAGGTACTGCTTCATCTCGCGCGCCTTGAGCACGCGGTCCTGGATGTCCGCCTCCATGCCTCGCTGCTTCGAGACGTGCCTCAAAAAGCACAAAGCCCCAAAAGAGCCTAAGGACATGAGAGCCTAAGAGCCTACCTCTCTCCGCGTGAGCTCGGCTTTCCAGGCCGCTTCCCGCTCCGCCACCTCCCGCTCCCTCTCCTCCAGGTACTGCTTCATCTCGCGCTCCTTGAGCACGCGGTCCTGGATGTCCGCCTCCATGGCCACGCGCAGCTCCTTCACGAAATTCTCCACCACCTCCTTGATGCGCATCGACATGCCGCCTCCCTACTCCGCCGAGCCTCCTCCTCCGCCGGGCCTCCTCCTCCGCCGGGTCTCCTCCTCCGCCGAGCTTCCTCCGCCGTGCCTCCTCCTCCGCCGGGCCTCCTTCGTACCTCCTCTGGGTGAGGCTCTGCGGGTGAGACCAGACTGACTTTGCTACGGTGTGACTTGCGGAAGGATGAACGCGCTGGGTTGGAATTCAGGGACGGTGAGAAGTATCAGTGCTGCTTTAGACCGACGATCGTCGCCGGCCGCTTCGTCGCTCTAGCTAGCTAACGCACTTGTGGGCGAGTGCGTGCAGTGGTGCGGTCTGTGACTGTGACCCTAGCGGATCCGACATCAGCTATAACCGTCGAGAACGCCATAGACTGATGCTTTTATCGCGGATTTCGTAGTTGCGAAGCCATGACGCGGATCCAGAGGAAGGTTGTGAAACCGTCGAGAACGTCTAGAGAAAGCGAGGAGGAGAGAAAGCGAGGCGGAGAGAAAGCGATGCGGAGAGAAAGGGAGGAGGAGAGAACGAGAGAACGAGAGATCGAGAGAACGAGAGGGAGAATCTGAGACCTCCTGAATTCGATGCGGATCCAACGCCCAGGAGAGAGACGCTGGTACGAGGATTCCTCGAGGAATCGACACAAGCAACCCGTAGCGTACTAACAGTGGCGGGGGGCACCGTAACGCGCGTAACGCGGGAGCTCACACACAGCCTGCGCGTGGATCGATCAGCCTCGCAATAGCAGTGAATAGGCTATTAGAGTTTCCGATTGGTGTGGGTCCGGAAGATACCTGCACACTAGTAACGGATCTTACGGCGAGTGCTTTTATTGAGCACACTACCAAGCCGCTCCCGATTTCTTGGAGAGCACGCCAAGCGTTGTCATCAAGCCAGACACAGAACCAGAAGAATCTGTTGGCCTGGTGGTTGTGTGGCTGTTAGCAGCATGATACACAA